CTATAAGATCAGAAGTCAGTCCATTTATTTTCATCCATAGAATATTTCGTACACATTGATTATTTTTTCATGAAAATCTTAATTTCTTATCTTGTAAAACTTATTTCTATAATAACTCTCTGCTTAAATATTCACATCAAATTATATTAATTATTTAATTACAGTTATTATTATACAATTAAAATATAAAACAAAATGAATGAGTAAAATCTGTTAATTATTTTGCGGACACTTCAATGTCAATTATTAACTTATTTGTCAGTAAGCATCAAAGTCAATATAAATTTGTTAATAATTTTCCATATATTTGTGTTACTCCTTTATATTTATATATTTGTATTACTCAAAATTCATCCGAGAGATTTCAAAATTCACCATCTTTACAATAATTATCGCCCTTAAATACACCCGTAGAGAAAATACATGTTACAGCGGAATATTTAAATTCAAGATAAACATAATTATAATAATAGTTATTTTATAATAATGATTAAGTTACCAATGAAATTAAAAATAAATGGGTAAAATGAAGAGATGAATAGGAATGTGACGTATTGCGACACGTTGACGAAATGTAGAATGTGAAAGATAAGAACCGGCACAGTGCTATGTATAGATATAAATCCCCATAGAGTTGAGCGATCACTACTGAGCACAGTAATGAATATTATAGAAAAGTTGTTTGAGAGTCTGTTGCTAGATCTGATTGGTCCTACCTCTCTGCGATTATATAAGCAATTTATTATGTGAATACGTAATGTGTGCGCGCGTGTGTGTGTGTGTGTGTGCGCGCGCGCGCGCGCGTGCCTGGAGTATATCGTGATGTTGGAAATAAGATATGCAAAAGTTTTATGAGGCCAGTGAATGAGAAGCGCGATTGTACCAATGATTAACGGGATTAGAGAACGGAGTGACGAGACGAGGGCCACGCGATGGACACGTGATGAACCAGCGCATTTCGTTAATTTGACGCGATGCAAAGCGTATGGTAGACGTTTAGTTGGTTTTTAAAATTTCGGTTCTAGCAATTTTCTTCTTTTTCATCCAAAAAGAAACATACGTGCTTAGAGATTGCATGTGTTATATTTTCGTTGAAGTAGATATTGACGACACATTCACATATCACGTATATCAATATTTTGTTAAGTATAAAAATTATTAAACATAAAAAATTAATGATATTTAAAAAATTTTGCAATATCATACTAACATTCGGTTAAAATCTTGAAAAATCTTATATAATTTATAAAAAATACATCTAATTTCGTAGAATTTCGTAAAAAGTAATCGATACTTATGATAAAATTAATTTTTTTTATGACTATAATGCAATATTTGTACTTAAAAATTAAATTTTCTCTAGATTATATTTTAAAGCCAATGTATACAAGAATTTACTTTATTTGAGATAGTTTATTTAAAAGTTTGGCAGCAATCAGTAAATCTAGATAAAAAAATAAATGGTTGTAGTAGTAGTAGTAGTAGCACTAGTACTGGTTGTGGTAGCTATAGTAGAGGTAATAATAATAATAATCATCAGTTAGGAATAACACGAACGATCAAAATATAAAAGTATTCGTAAAAATAAATTTAAAACAATTTAAATAATTAATAGTTAAATGTTTAAAAAAGCACTGCCTTTAATTTATAGATATTATCGAATAGTGAAATTTTTTAATATAGTATTTATAATGCAAAAAGTTGGCAATAAATTCTATTTCTTCATACATTTTTTAAAATCATATTGCAATTTTCTTCGTTCTAATAACACGTAGAATTGCTCTTATAATTATTGAGGGATATGCTGTGATATCCGTATCGTCGGGGTTTTCGTGATATCTCATTATGAGAGGCAGAATTAATTTTGAGTGAAAGCCAGATAAAACACTGCTAAAACCATACTTACAATATTCAATACGAGATGCGCTACGAGCAACTTACACAAAGTAATAGTCTCATTATGTAGCTTGTATTATGATTATTGTTAGAATTCTCTGCACACTACTACCGATGTAGCTTTATGTCATGAGAATAAAGATCGTTGCCAAGGCCATGTTTAAGGAGGTCAAGGCCACGTCATTATGAGCTTATGAATCATGTTACACAAGTAGCTTGGCGCCTCTTCCTTATACTTCCTTACATTACGTACTTTATATAGTGAACTGTTTGAATGCAATGAATTCTATTTTGCTGTATGGAATTAGAAATCAATCGATACGTGTTCAATTTCTCTTTCTAATAATACTTTTAATAAATTTCGTGATATTTAAAAATGAACGTTGTAGTTTTTTCGTGTTTCATGTCAATGTCGAGCGTTAGTACTATTAATACATTTATAACTGCTTTGTTTGCCCATTAATATAAAATATGATATTCATTTTGTATAAAATTTATTGAAAATAATGCTCATATATAGTTCTAATTTATTCTAAAATCAAGATAAAATAATATAATTTTATGAAATATAAATTTGTATGTTTTCATTATTGTATATTGTGAAATGAAATAAATTTCGGTACTTTAAATTATAACATTCACACTTATTAACTTTCGGGGCTCGTAGTTTTATTTTTTGCATTAAAAAAAAAAGAAAAAAGAAAAAATTTTTTTTTATTTCTTGAACTGTTGTCAATAACAAGTTTACCTTTCATGTATAATTATTATTATTAATATACGTCTTTACTCATAATCTATTTTATATTACAATTTTTATTAGAATTTTAAATAAAATAATGCAACATAATTGTTAATTTAACAGCAAGTGAAAGATGCACAATAATATATTAAAACATTTCAAACAATCTTTGCTTATGATTTGTTAAATTCTAATTCTCATTCTAGTGCAAACATTTGCATGAAGTTGTATAGATAAATAATTTAAAAAATACAGATGCTGCACTTGAAATCTTTTATTTTTTAATAATTTCATAATATCACAATAATTTAAAACAATCGTATTTCATATTAGCAATATTTAAAGTTTGAATTGTTGAATAAGAAGGTGCATTCTTTTAAATGCTAGTTGACATGATGACATGTGACAAAATATTTATAAGTAAAAAAACATATTTTCTACATTTTTTTTTAATTAATGGATGCTCTAATGTAAATGGAAACTTATTCTCTCTTCATATTTTAATTATAATACAGTCGATTCATTTTAAAATATAAAGTATAAAGTAAGTAAAGTAAAATTTCAAATTGATTTAATAATGAATTTTAATTGATGTGAAAGTAAAGTCAGTATATAAGTGTAGAAATCGTCTAATTATCGATGGTAGAATATATAATGATTAAGTTTTAGTAGTTTCTGTTAAACAATTACGTATCGTTGTTTTAAACATTAAGATTAAAATAGTGAATATAAAAGACAACGAGATCGTTGTAAATAAAGTAAAGTAGTAGATAAAGTAATAAAAATCAATAAGACAATAATAGTGCAAGATTCGTTAGTTTTAAAGCGTATAAAATAATTAATGCAAAAAGGCTGGTAAAGAAGGAAGTTAACAAAAAAAAAAAAAAAAAAAAATTTCATGTAATGCTAGGCTTAAATATTTCATACTTCATATAATTGTCATCGAAGGAATTGCTATTCATTTAGAGGCACATTAGATTAATGGAGAAAGTGGTGCAAGATAAATCCACCAGAATCACATTAAGTAACTTTAATCCAAATGTCATATGAATGTAAAGCGAGCATAAGTTGTATCAGTATAAAGAAAATAAATCGCGCATTCTTGATTAAAAAAATATTTTTGAAGAAAAAAGTTCAACTATGCAGATAGTATTTCTTCCATCATAAATTGAGTTTGTATAATTAATTAAAATTTACGGTGATAAAAATGCGGATAAATTTAATGAAATGACTAGGCATATATATATATATATATATATATATATATACATATACATATAATTAATACACTCTGTATTAATAGAATATTTATAATATAAAATTTAACTTCAGATTGAGACAACTATTGATGATAATTAGCGATAATTAGATGTACGATAAAAAAAAAAGTTGAAGTATTTTTAAAAAGCGGTAATACGAATATATATATAAATGATAAAACAATTGGATTTTCTAATGATAGAATATTCTAATAATATTATAATATTTAGTGATAAAATTAGTTTTTTTTTCTTCTTCTTTTTTTTTCATTTGTATTTTATATCGAAATAGTAACTTAATATATAAAAACAGCTTAAGGTATAAAATGAAAATAAAACGTTCGTAGAAAGTTTATAATTCGGGACTCTTAGTATTTTAAATTAAACATATGATGATTTTCATGCAATAATAATATGTTTATAGTAATAATTTAAAAATAAGTTTTGAGCTAAAAATTATTAATGGAATGTATCATATTTAGAGAGTTCATGACACGCGAAGTACTATTTTACTATAAATTTCAAGACATTGATTGAAGTAATTTGAAAAGTCGAATGAAATTTGTGACAGATTATGTATATAATGACATTACAATATATAAAATTAGAAATAATTTGAATATTGGAATATGGACAAATTTATTTGAAAGATATAAACGTTTCATTGTCATCGCGGGAAAATAAAGTAAAATTAATAGTACAATTATTCTAAACCACGTAATCATTATAATATATAAATTTCAAATATTAGCTGTTTTAAAAAATCACTTTGTTTAAAAAACTAATTTGAGTAATCTTCATTTTCATATGGTTATATTATAAATTGTATTAATGCAATTTACATTTACGAAAAACTTTAGGAAAAGCAAAAGATATAGATTTTATTTGTGAAGATCCATTATAAGGATTAATGAAAATATCGAACCGTTGGCTTAACACTTGACGAGTAAGTGAAGGCTTCTAAAATATTTAAGTCATATCGCTTTATCGTATGTTTAATGAAAATTTTAAATAATAATAAATGTCTAGTTTTACAATTTAAAGTACAGTTGAATTCACGTGTAATTGAATCATAATATTTAATGTCAAACATTGGACGTTTGCAGGGTCCAGGATATTTGAAGCGTGCCAATAGTGACCGTCTTCATGAAATCTTCAATCAGGTAAGTTTTGCATTAATTATACCACGAATAACAATTTTCTAAGCAAATATTAATTTCACTCTAAACTCTCATAGTACCAATTGCCAAGCAAACTTATTTCTACAAATTCATCAATATTAATTCAATTCTGCACTATTTCACGTTTCTTCTTTTAGTACGCAACGTATCAGAAAGATGGAGAACGGTTCATGACCTCGAGTGATTTTGTTCGTAGTTATCTTGGTCTTTACACTGACTCAGACTTCAATCCGGACTCGGTTGCTTTACTTGCTGGAATCGTTGATACCAGTAAAGATGGGTATAGATACATTTTTTATAACAATCTCAATATACTTTTAAGTAATTGTTATCTATATTGTTGTTATTACGAAATTCACATTCGTTAATTAAGTCGAAGATATTTATTTTACCATTTTTACAAGATTTGGATTAATGATGAAATACTAATGGTCTGGTTCGTTTCATCGCAGAGAGAGAGAGAGAGATAGAGAGAGAGAGAGAGAGAGAGAGAGAGAATCGCTATTAATAACAATTTATTAATTTTATTAACGGTTAAAGATACGAAATATGCTCAATAATTCATGTTTGGTTAAAAATTCCATTAAAAAATGAATTTTTATCGAAGAAAATTTCTATAAATGACACAATATTTTTAAACATGGTATCTTTTCATAAACTTAAATCTTTACGAAAAATTTAATCATTTTTCTCCTTTAGACTCATTTCGTTTGCTGAGTTTCAAGCGTTTGAGGGTTTACTTTGTGTACCAGATGCTCTTTATAAAACAGCTTTTCAGTTATTCGATACGAATGGAAATGGAATGGTTGCATTTGGTACGCAGATATTTTAATGAATATTTGTTAGGGATAAGTATTTTTTTTAATGAAAAATAAGCTTCTTAATGTAAATTGTAGATGAGTTCGCTGAGGTAATCCGTAAGACGGTCCTTCATCAAAAGATGCCCTTTAATATGGACAGCGCCTTTATTAAATTATACTTTGGCAAAGATAAGAAGCGACTCATAACTTATGCAGAATTCACTCAGCTTTTACACGTATGTGGTTTTTGTTTTATTTTCTTTTTGTTTCACTATATTAATGATTCTCGTATGTGAAATTCTTCTTCTCTTCTAATCTTTCTAATGATATAATACCATATAATTACAATTGTGTTATTTCCTAACTGTGTATTTTAAATACTTTTAATTTAACAGGATTTTCACGAAGAATATGCAACGGAAGCCTTCAAAAAATTTGATAAGGACGGTACAGGATTTATTTCCATAGTAGATTTTCAAGATATCATGCTTAGTATCAAAAGTCATCTGCTGACAAAAGACGTTAAAGATAATCTCGTAGCGGTTAGTTATTTGAAAATTGGTTAGCAAATGCAATGCACGTTCGAAACAATAATTTTTATTATTTATTTAAGGCCTTAAGTACAGGACAGACTGGAAGGAAAGTGAGCTTCCCATATTTTATGGCCTTCAATTCTTTACTTAATAATATGGAACTTATAAAGCGAATTTACCTTAATGCAACTCACGGGCATAGATATCAGGAAGTAACGAAAGGTTAATTAATATAAGCTATTATTATGTATATAATTCAGTGAAAATTTACTAAGACAAAATGTTTATTAGATGAATTTTTATAAGCTAAAGTAAGATAAAAATAATTAAAACACACAAATTTATGATATATATGAATAGAACTTGTTCTGTCGTCAGATGTACATCGAAGTTTTTTATTTGAATAATAATTCATCAAACGAATAGTATTACAATTATTTGTTTTTCAATTTTTTTTTGTTTTTTTTTTGTTTTGTTCTGTTTTTTTGTTTTGTTTTTTGTTTTTGTTTTTTTTTGTTTTGTTTTTTTTGCTACAATCAACGCTCTTAAATTGATTAAAATTTTTTTACTTTATAGAGGAATTTCTACACTCAGCACAAATGATGTCGCAAATAACACCCCTCGAGGTTGATATTCTTTTTCATCTTTGTGATCTTTTACATCATACTGGGTAAATATTATGTCAAGTTATCTTACCAAATTTAAATGTGTTAATAAATATTAAACGAAGGAGAAGTTAAAATGTGTTGCTGTTTATTTTTATTTTATTTATTTATTTTATTTCTTTCTTGTGAATATTAGAGTTAGAATTTGTGCATAGTAAATGGAGAGATAATTTAAACATGATCAAATCATAATTCCAATTGTACATGTTTCATTAATATTTTTACACGAGTTTCTTTTCGTTATCTAGATATGGTATTATATTTTTATTTTCCATTTTAAATTCGCAAAAAAAAAAAAAAAAAAAAAAAAAAAAAAAAAGAAAGAAAATCTATTTACACAGTTTATTGTTAATTTATAATTAACATTATAATAGCCAAGTGGCATTAAATCTATTATCGTTTATATTTATATTTAGAATACATGAAATACTTGTGTAGAATACGTGACTTAAAAAGTGTTGCTCGAAGGGATAGTTGGATTACATTGTTATATTATCGTGCTCTATGCACCTATTTTTCTAATGCAATATTAGAGTATTAAATAATTTAAATTTGTTCACGCTAACGAGAACAGCTCGAATGAAGAGCCGATGCCAGTTGTTGCAAGTTTTGGGTGCGTCTCAGTACATTTTTCGTTTTTATAACTTATGCCTTAAGTTTCGTCCTCGTCGTTGTCATTTTTGTATTTAATAACTTATAAATATTTTCACGTATTCTTCTTTTATACGTAAACACCGTTTCATTATGTATTACTAGATTTGTTGATTTGTTATGCCTCGCATATGCTCATGTTATGTGATTTATTTGTCTATGTTTAATATAATATTTGCATTTAGTCGCATGTAGAGGTATCTTATGTAAGTATCTTTAAATGCTTCTTATTATCTTCACATGAAAATAGATAAATAGGCATTTATTTCGATTTAATTCCAGAATTCAAAGTATTTCACGTTATATTTATAATAATGTTAATATTTATTGTAAAGACATGAAAATAATGTGTAAAATATTTTAGGAAAATCATATACAACGATTTAGTGGCCATAACACCTGAGCAGTATTTTAAACAAATTACCAAACGACTTGCTGAAATTAAAGCTGTGTCGGTAAGCTAATTAAAATCTGTCGAATTAATATATGACGAAAAATTATAAATTGTATCGATAATTTCGAGCTATTAATTTTTCTAGAGTCCAGATGAAAGGGGAGTTTTTGTTCAAATCATGGAAAGTGGTTATCGATTTATTTTGGGATCAATTGGTGGAGGTTTGTATATATTGGAATTTACATATATAATGTTTTTGTTTCAGTATAATTTTTTGCAGGACAATTTCATATAAATTTGAATTATCATATAAAAAAATAATTTAATATACTTCGGTAATTAGGATTCTTTCCTCTTTCGGCTCAAATACTATTATTATTTTATGTATTATTTATAATTTTTATAATTTTAAAATACAATTTATCGAATCATAGTTATTGCTTTAGATAGAAAGTATTACATGTATGATTCTTATTTAAATAATTTCTTGTATTACTTACAAAAGAGACACAACAATAATTGTATTAATTCTAGTTTGATTTAATAAATTTTCATAGAGTTTCACAAAATTGTTGTATAAAAAAATATCTCAATACGTATTAGTATATAAATAATTTTATTGCATTTAAAAATGTTTTTATATACGTTAAGAATAATACGAATTATATACGTAATAGAATATGTTAAATTTAAATATGTTAAATTTGTGTTTTTATTTAATTAAATATGTTAAATAAAAATATGTTAAATTTCAAAGTCTTAACTTCAATTAAATTCAATTATGTGTGTGTGTGTGTGCGCGTGCGCGCGCGCGGACAGTGTTTGTTTTCTTATATTGAATAGTAATTATTTAAAATGGCATGGCATTAATGCTTACATATATTAATAATATTATATTGCTCGTAATTCTTAAAAAATAAATTTTTTTTTTCTTTTTTACAGCTGTTGGAGCAACGGCGGTTTATCCAATTGATTTGGTTAAGACTCGTATGCAGAACCAACGTGCCGGATCTTTTATTGGCGAGCTTATGTATCGTAATAGTTTCGATTGTTGTAAAAAGGTTACTTTAAAACAAAATTTCTATACTCTATATATGCGCATATACATATACATATAATTTAACTGGATCATCATTTAAATATGTTGCTGAAATAATCGTTCTTCCAATTTGTAAGAGTCGAAATATAAATTTTATAAAAAAAAAAAAAAAAAAAAAAAAAACCAGAATTTTAACATTACACTTAATTATGTGGGAAATATGTTTTATTCTTAAATAATTTATAAATATTTATAGTCCCAGAATTGCAATGCTTATCATAATTTAATTACCTGTATTTGCAAATATTCGGTTGAAATTTTTAAATTTACGATTCATTATAATCAATTGATTTCCAGCTCTTTAACGTAGCTGCATAAGTCATTTAATCGACGATTGAATCATTTTTACTCCGACAGGTAATCCGCCACGAGGGTTTCTTCGGCTTATATAGAGGTTTGGTGCCGCAACTGATGGGCGTAGCTCCGGAAAAAGCTATCAAACTTACAGTCAATGATTTCGTGCGCGATAAATTCATGGATAAAAACGGTAATTTGCCGTTGTACGGCGAAGTAATGTCGGGCGCATGTGCCGGTGCTTCCCAGGTAATTTTTACCAACCCATTAGAGATCGTCAAGATACGACTACAAGTGGCTGGTGAAATCGCCGGCAGTCAGAAAGTCAGGGCATGGACGGTGGTCAAAGAGCTTGGGCTTTTTGGATTATACAAAGTTAGTAGCGTTGTCGTAGTTTAATTCATTTGAACTTTTTTTACTTAATTTGCTGACCTAATTCTATGCTGTCGAACAACAAGATCGGAGAAAATTTCTCTCGACATAACAGAAATCCTTGCAATTAATTATTTTTAGGGTGCCAAAGCTTGTCTTCTGAGGGATGTACCATTCAGCGCCATTTACTTTCCCATGTACGCACACGTTAAGACGAAGTTCGCCGACGAGGGAGGATATAATACACCATTGTCTCTTCTCTTTTCCGGAGCAATCGCCGGCGTCCCAGCAGCAGTGCTCGTGACTCCAGCAGACGTCATAAAAACTCGATTGCAGGCATAATTTATCGTCCAACATTTACTTAATAGTCATTCAATAAAAGCATAATGTCATTATCATCTTATATTGATAATGTTTGAAAAACGCAATTCCATTTTCTTTTTTCTTTTTTCTTATTTGCGTTAAAAAGTTTCTTAATTGGCTGGGCTTACTCATAAGACGTTATGCATCATTGTTAGGTTGTCGCGCGTCAGGGTCAAACGACTTACAATGGATTGATAGACTGTGCACGTAAAATTTATCAAGAAGAAGGCGCCAGAGCGTTTTGGAAAGGAGCATCAGGTATTGATACGAGATCTTTTTACAAATTTCATTGTATAAAATAAGTTTAATACCGTAAGAGTAAAAAGACAATTTTGCCAAATATTTTTAATATTTTGTAGTAATAACTAGTCTCAACACCGATGCAATGTGTATTTCGAGAATAATAATACTTAATGTTCAATTATATTCGTGTTCGATATTATTATGAAATATTATGATTATTATACGAGATCGAAAAATCATTATAATAATATTACATCCAATGTTGTCGTTAAAATATATAGAAATTTATTATTTTCTATTAAACTCACTTTGATATTTCGTATAAAAGAAGTATTAGTAATTAGTAATCAGTGTTTAAGCCATAATGTTTATAGATGTGAATTCAATTTAGAAAATTTTTTAAGGGAGAAAGATTAGTAACTAACATTATTAAATGAATAGTTTGATATTGTTATTAATAGATGATGATGATCATAATAATGATTATGAATAGATTGATAATAATATGATATTAAATGACTTTTTTATCAATGTTTATCAGTTAAAAATTATTTGAATTATAAGTCGAATTATGAAGTAATGATGGGATGTCCTTGCAAATATTTTTTACACCCAATATAAAAAAAAAATTGGTATTGTAGTGTTTGAGAAGCGTATCGTTTTTCAAAATGATATTTTAACAATATTTATATATTTCAAAAATATACATTAAAATTTGAATATTAATTTTGAACAATTGTTTTTTGTTTTTGTTTTTTTGTTTTGTTTTGTTTTGTTTTTTTTTTCCAACAATTACATTTAAATCTCAATTGCTTTACATCATTGGATGGAGATATTATTAAACTATAAAATTTGGACAATCCGTATGTTAAGCTATAAATATAAATTGGATATTACTTACAAGATTGTAACGGGAATTCATTTTTAGCTTTCTTGGTATATAAAGAAACGACATTATTACTTGAAGATGATTGATAAAATTCTTTGTTAAATATATCGTAAAGGAATTCATAAAGTAAAATAATATGATATTATTTTATAATTGACTAATTGATTATGAATTCCTATGAAAATAAAGAATGTCGACACTTCTCGTATTCATAAAAATTTAGCAAATTTTATAAATGAATATTATAGATTAATTTAATTTAATTTAATATAAAATGGCTGACTGACGCCGAGCAACAATCGATTCTTGAATCTTCCTAAAATGACCCGATGACCTTTGATTGTTAGTAAGTAAATAGTTCGTAGATTTTGTGCAGTTTGTTAATTTTTTGGTTTTATAAATTTCTTTTATGTTACTGAAAACTTATTGAAATTAATGAACAACGTAATCGCATATTAATTAATAGATAATTCATTAATTATAATCATCAAATCATTAAAGTATACTCCTTCACGTACTTATTTATTAATAATATTCATGTTAGGCAGCATTTAATCGTACTATTTGAAAATAAAAACATGAAAATATGTTTGCTTTATACGAAGTTCATCGACAAATTTTTGTTATGACTAAGTTCAAGCGATTGTAGCGCAAAACAAATAAAAAGTAAATCATTTCAAATCTTATTTATCTTTTATAGCACGAGTGTTTAGATCATCTCCTCAATTTGGCGTTACTCTCTTTACTTACGAGTTATTGCAACGGCTGTTCTTCGTCGATTTTGGTGGATCGTAAGTATTTCTTCGACATACAACAATATTGATAAAAACAATAAATAACACGATTATTATTTATTATAGGCGACCAGCAGGCTCGGAGCATCAAGTGCCAGCTACGGGGGCCGACGATATGCGATCGACGAATCCTGATCATATTGGTGGATATCAGGTAGCTCTGCCTATCTTAACTGGTATTGAGAGCAAGTTTGGCCTGTGCCTACCCAAGTTCCAGGTCTCGAGACTTTAACAGTGACGATAATTGCCTGAATTATCCGTGGTTAATCACAGCGCGAATTTTAAACAAAACTCCATGTAATTTTTAAAAGTATTAGAACTTATGAAAAATATTCCTCACTTCGTGGCTGGAACACGTAGAAGAGACTTGAAAGAAAGAAAAGAAAAAAAAAATAAATAAAAGTAAAAAAGAGCACACAGTATAAGAAAGAGAGGAAAAGAAGGCAATACACAACCGACGATAAGATGGAATAATCAAGAAGGAAAACAGGATTTATAGCAATTTTTCACTAAAATATCGATTTCGATGAGTGGTACAATTTAGCCTGTTTCGTACAGAGTTGTCTAAGGTCCTAATTTTTCATTTTTAATATCAGACTTTAAAGAAAACAAGCAAGTAAAATAAATAAAGACTCGTTATATAGATAGTAATAAAAATATAGAACAAAATATGAACTTGTTACCTCTGAATTTGTACATATGTATAATGTATAATAAGTGGATGTTACACGTTTATGTTCGTGCGAACGAGAGAGAGAGAGAGAGAGAGAGAGAGAGAGAGAAGAGTGAGAATGAGTGAGATTAGAAATAAAGCGTACTTGACGAAAAAATGAAGGGCGAATGTAGCGACCAAAGAGATAAAGATATTTTCCCATATTTCGTTAGGGACGTTATATGATCGTAAACATAGAATGTTCAAGTTTTATGTATTTATATGTTTGAAAGCGAAGCTGGTTCTTTTCTCTCTTGACACGTCAAATTTGACTCATGTATACGGAAGATGTATTTTCTCATTCCACGTAGGAACTGTTGATTATCATTTATTTTTAGAGAAACCTTCACTATTTTTATCGTAAAAAAGGACAGAGCTAGGATTTCATACTCTCGAATACTAAATATTGATTGTACGTAATTATGACGAATGTTTAAATACAATGCAAAATGGAAATGCAAATATTAAGAGATTTTTGCTTATATCTAGAGACTTTTAATATTACAGACTTAAGTCATGCGAATGAGTAACGAGAGGAAGTTTAATTTTTAAAACTTTTAGTCTGAAAATTCATTTGTTAATGAAATTCAAGAAATAAAAGCAAATAATTTTATGGACGTTGCGTATAAAAATATATTTGTCATTTATTCATTATTATATGAATGAGTAATTTGAATTTAAAGTCACTATAAATTGTAAGATAAAGCAAACATAAAATTATCATTATTATTCTTTTTCTTTTTTTTTTTTTTTTTTTTTTTGTTTCAACAAAATTGCATCTCAGCAAAATTATATGCACTTTTTGACGATAAATTAATTATTTATACAATCAATTATAAATTCATGTGAATGTTGATACGTGATATAATATATTTTTCCCGTAATTATCCAACGTATACAAGTTGAAGAAGAAAATGTATAAAGATTAAGACTCTTGTCGAAAATAGGTCTATTGATTCTTTTTTTTAACTTTTTTCCCTTTAAAAAAAAAACGAATATAATTACTGTAATCATGCGAATTATTTACAACATAATTGATTTTTATTTTTCATCGATCTATCTATATCGATCGATACTAAAAAAGGAATTCGATCAATTGTATCAAAAATAAAAAATACATATTTTGCATAATTATAGAATGTTTATTATTTTCTTTATTGTGAAATGCAACTGAAATACCATTAAAATCAGTATGGTAATTTCCAAAAATCTGTTATTAATAAAAATATACAACTCATTTTCAATTTTCATCATTTAAATATATTTTTACTAACAACACCTACTTACAACATGTTTTTAAATCACAATGGCGTCTTAAATTATTTATGTATTCTTTATCTATTATTATATTTATTAAACCACATATATTAGGAACGGTTTCAATACAACTTTGATCACTTTCACTTTCAGAGTCATCCGAACAAATGTCTGAATTTAATTGTTCTTGACTTTCAATTTCTGTATTATGATTTTCAATCTTAAGATCATTATATTTATCTTTAATATTATTCGGATATTGAATCTTAAGTTTTTTCCAGTTATCTGTATTATCTTTTTCAATCTTTATATTGTTACTATCCCCCGCGGTGTTTTTATTTTCATTCGGATGTTTAACTTCTGTTACTTTTGACTTTTCATGCATAACCTTTTTCATAATGTTAGTTTTATTCTTTTTTGAGTGCCCGTGTATATCCCAAGCATTTTTCTCTGTTTTCCCATGTATTTCATCCATATTATCCGTGGTATTATTTTCATGGTAATCACTAATTCCATCCATATTTTCCACGGTATTGAGATGAGAATGACTAATTCCATCCGTACTCTTCATGGCACCTCCATGAGAATGACTCATTCCATCCGAATTCTCCACGGCACCTCCATGGGAATGACTCATTCCATCCGAATTCTCCACGGCACCTCCATGGGAATGACTCATTCCATCCGAATTCTCCACGGCACCTCCATGGGAATGACTCATTCCATCCGAATTCTCCACGGCACCTCCATGGGAATGACTCATTCCATCCGAATTCTCCACGGCACCTCCATGGGAATGACTCATTCCATCCGAATTCTCCACGGCACCTCCATGGGAATGACTCATTCCATCCGAATTCTCAACGGCATCTCTATGTGAATGACTCATTTCATCCGAATTCTCCACGGCACCTCCATGGGAATGACTCATTCCATCCGAATTCTCAACGGCATCTCTATGTGAATGACTCATTTCATCCGAATTCTCCACGGCACCTCCATGGGAATGACTCATTCCATCCGAATTCTCAACGGCATCTCTATGTGAATGACTCATTTCATCCGAATTCTCCACGGCACCTCCATGGGAATGACTCATTCCATCCGAATTCTCAACGGCATCTCTATGTGAATGACTCATTTCATCCGAATTCTCCACGGCACCTCCATGGGAATGACTCATTCCATCCGAATTCTCAACGGCATCTCTATGTGAATGACTCATTTCATCCGAATTCTCCACGGCACCTCCATGGGAATGACTCATTCCATCCGAATTCTCAACGGCATCTCTATGTGAATGACTCATTTCATCCGAATTCTCCACGGCACCTCCATGGGAATGACTCATTCCATCCGAATTCTCAACGGCATCTCTATGTGAATGACTCATTCCATCCGAATTCTCCACGGCACCTCCATGTGAATGACTCATTTCTTTCGAATTCTCCACGGCACCACCATGTGAATGACTCAATCCGCCCATACTCTTCCTGGCACCTCCATGTGAGTGACTCGTTCCAACTATACTCTTCATCGCACTTCCATGGGAATGACTCATTCCATCCATATTCTCCTTGGTATTTCCATTGTAATGTCTAAGCGTCCATTCCCTTCCAAATTTTCGCAAATTGTAATCTGTAACTGTGTTCGATCGTTCGTTAATAGTATTTAATCCATTCATACTACGTTGAAGGATTCCGTGCTTATGAATCAAATTCCTTTCATTTCCAAATGCTCCAAAATTATGATAGTTAAATATTACTGTTTTTTTTTTTTACTCTTTATCGAACTTGGAGTTTTAAATTTATTCCAAGTACTGGTTCTAAAGTCATTCATATTTTCATTTTTTCTACTATTAAAAAATAGTTTAAAATAGCGATTATTTGTTTTCGGTATTTTCTTAATAGTGCTTAACGAATTTACAAATTTATATTCATTCGGGTTTTCATTCATAACGTCACTCATATTTTCATTCGGATTACTATTTAAGATTTCGAAGTTATTATTAATGTTCGATTTATTACTATTTTTAAATATATTTTTAAATATATTTTTAAATTTATTCAGTCTTCCGTTAATTTTCATTAACGAACTTATAAGTTTAAGCTTATTCAAGATGGCAATTAAAACGTTATTCTTATTTTCTTTCATATTACCGTTCGAGTTTTCTTGGTTATTATTATTCGTTTTGTTATTTTCTGCAACCTTATCATCTTTGAGTGTTTCCAATGAATTTCCATTAGGAATGTTGTTCTGGTTCACATGTATGTTTATATTTGTTTTTTGATTATTATTATTATTGTCTTGCATTTCTGAGTTTTGCAAATTTGATGACATATTGTTTAAGTTTGAATTTTTTGTTTCGTTGTTGGGAGTGCAAGCATCCGTCACTGGATTTTTTATACCTTTTTTTTTTTTTTTAAATTATTAGAATATTATTAAAAATTTACAATTAATTGTATACATAAAAAAGTATAATAATCTTATATTATTAAAAGTATCGATAATAATTTATTATTATTGTAAAATGCTTTATATTCACATTTTTCATAAATTTATAACTAAATGTTTTAATCACATGTGTCTGATGAATCTATTATTCCTTATATTGTGAATATATTTAATATAGTTTTTGCTATAACGTATTATCAAATTTTAAGTTATTAATGATTAAATATTACAAGGGCATGAGATATTGATTTTTTCATGCATCATTTAAATTATCATTTAGAATATAGGAATCTTAATAATTATGTAATATTATTTTTCTTAAAGAATCAGGTGATTTCCTATTTAGAAAAATCATTACTTTTAGTTGGCACGTATATGGAGAATATATTCTACGATGGTGTTATTATTAAATAAGTATAATAAAAAATAGAAGTTTATTATGTAATTAAGGTTTAACGAATATAATTTTTCAAAATAATTAGAATATTTGATTGCTCACTACAAAGTCCGGGATACTGAGTTGATTTCACCAAATTTCCACCACATGAGGTATTCCCAACTTTATAAGGCTGATTGTTTATATTATTACCACTGGAAAATATATCATTGCATTGATAATTGTATTTAATAATTGAGATCGAAAATTAACATAGACTCGAACTATCGCGATTTAATATAATATAATTTACTCTACATTAATTAATAAATTCAAATTACCCAGTATAAGAAAAAAAAAACATACTCACGCTGGACCATAATTACAGACGTAAAATTTATTAACCATATCGTTTGGCTTACTGTAACGAATGTATCCACATCCTACCAAGTAAGTGCTTGACCAAATTACCTGTAATAATTATAAATAGTTAAATAACTTCATCAATTCAAACGAACCTACAGAATGTTCTAAAAAATTTTCTTACAATTAATTAATATTTAATATGATAAATTATGATCAAATAGAGATTAAAATTTAAAAAAAAGTTATATTATATAAGAATGTTGAGCTTAAATTAAATTTATGCTTTTCTTCTACCAGAATATTGATTTTATTTACAAGATAAAGCGTTTTTCGTACATTAATAAACTAATTTAATAATAACATTGTATAATGTAGAATATTTATTATAACATAATTGTTTTAGAAAGTCGGTGATAAAATTATCTGTAATTTTGAATTATTCTTTTATAAATTTTTGAACTTTTGAAATTTTGTTAATTAATTCACAAATTTAGTAATATATCCATAAATTATAAATAATATTGTAATTAGATAATCTTCTTCATTTCATTCGAGTTTTTAAAATATTGTGTTTTCATAAAATAGCTTGACTTTTAAATAATATTAAAAAAGAAGAATAACTTTCAGTTTACGTAAGAATATTAAATGTCAGATGAAAATTTAATGTATGACTTTCATAAAAATAGTATAACTAAATTACAAATAAAACGATATAATTTGAATCTGAAGAAACTTTCTATTCTTTCAATGGGCTGCATAGTTTTTTGGAATTTCAGATGTTATGCAATTTCTTTGATAATAAGTAATTATAAACTGCTACTTATATTGGATAATTTCACAATTAATTCGTTCGTCATAGAAATAATTGAGAGAAAACTTATTATTTGTTATTAATGCAAGAGATTTTTTTTATAATAATTGTCCATATTAATACTAAAAAAATGACAGGATTAAATTTACTTTAAAAAATTTTAAAACTAATCAGCGATCGGTTATGAATTTTCAATAGTTAGATGTTATAATTGTTAACAAATATTTTCATTTTCTTTGCATTTTTGTGGCCAAGTTCTTGTTTTTTTTTTTTTTTTTTTTTTATATATAAAACAGCTTACATTTCCTTCATTTTGGAATATACAAGATTATTATTTAATTTGATTCTACAATTTATTCTTGTACAATTTATTCTTTAATTCATTTTTTAAACGGTTAATAATCTCTCATTAAACATTAAAATATTTTTTATATAAAGATTTTACCAATTTTTAATATCTTTCATTGCTGTTATTTATCATTATTTTATCATTTATTATTAACTAAAATTTTCAAACATCATATTTATGCTTTATCAATAATAACAAAAAAATTGAGACAAGTCAATTTGATTTTAATAAAAAAATCTTCAAACTTAAACACCGGAATGTATTTATAGCTAAATTTTTAATTACGAAAAGATATTTTCCTTAGCAGGAATAAATAAAAATTTAAACTAATAAGAGCATATTTTCCGGATTTTTAGTAATATTGAATATTATGTAACCAATAAGATAGCCATTTATTATGTATACTTTAAAATTTCAAAAAAAAAACAAAAAAAAAAAAAAAAAAAAAAAAAAAAAAAAAAAAAAAAAAAATGGAATGAGAATTAAGATAATTTTGATAAATAAGCGTAGAACATTTGTAATGATACGTTGGCAATTTTTCAAGCTATTAAATTTATATGATATCAAAATAATTTTTTTATTTGAAATGGTAAATAGCTTATACAGATTTATGATTGAGATTAATTCAGATGTCCATAAAGTAAGCCGTGAAAGTTGTATGTTCAGAGCAATCTAAGGTTGATCTGTTATGAATAAAGTTTCGAAATTCTGAAAAGTGTAAAAGTTTAAGGAAGTCGCATTTTTGTAGAGCACATATTATAAAATAGTATGCGAAAGAATTCTGATAAGCATCTCAAAGTTCGATAAAAAATTATAGAAAGTTTTACATGATAAAAATTTCTCCCACACACGTCTTCATAGAATATTATAAACAATTAATGTTAATATTAATATAAATATAATAAATTACAAATTTTATAAACGAATGTATTATTTGAAAAATTGTATATTTTATTACATACAGTTTTCATTAAACAACTTACACATGTTTAAAAGATCCTTGTTAATAATATATTTTTATAAAATATAAATGTGTGATAGTAACGATTACTTCAATCTATAAGAGAGATTTTTTTTTTTAATTTGTAAATATAATTTATAATTGTGCCAAATTTATACTTATAAAGTTTATTAATATAATTAAATCTATATATTCAATAAAATGAGAGGTTAAAAAAAAACATTAACATTAACGTTAGTGCAATATCTTGTATAAGTAAATATATCTTTAATTAATTAAGCAATGACTGAATATTTATAATATATTTAATTTGAATTATGAGTAAAAATTTTACCTGTGTATAATGTCCAGTATTTGAATAATTTTCATAATTAATTTTTCCGAACACGTACATTTTGAACTCATTGAACCAATTAGTTATTTGTTTAGTAAATTCTATAAGTTTGACCTTCTCCGGGCTGCCTGACATCATTGTTTCTCCAATATTTTGACCGACTGAGAATCTCCCTGTTGGTTAATAAAAAACAATTTGTCGAATTGATACATTAAAAAAAATTGTATTAAATGTTTATACGGGAGAGTCAGTGCGCGCGCGTGTGTGAGAGAGTGAGAGAGATAGAGATAGAAAGAGAGAGAGAGAGAGAGAGAGAGAGAGAGTGTGTGAAAATTGCTTTGGGACAATATACCCACCATCTCTTCTATCCGCGTTGCTGTTATGCTCGAAGGTGCACTGATTCGCCCACTGTTGGGCTCCTTTGGCCAGCTCCTCGTCCCAGTACTTGAGCCGTAAAAATTATTTTTTTCTTGTTGTAATTACAGAAAACTGAATAACTGCACATGCTAAATCTTTCATTATGAAATCCCATTCGTTATAAGTAAATTTTATTTTCCAATTTGTAGAAACAATTAGGGTAAAGTTTTGTTGAAATCCTTGTCAAATAAATAGACTTACGATATTTAATTATTTACACGTTTTTCAAATATTCAAAATAATTTTATTGTTATACGTTGGCAAAAAATTGTGCTGAGATAAATTAGTATTTAAAAACGAAACCAAAATTATATTTTATGAATAAACAATTTTAATTTTATTCAATTTTGTCTTCCTATTTTATTAACTTTCGAAGAAGATAATCTTTATTTTTGATCTACAGGACCATTATTGTTCACATTCATAAGAACAAAACAAATAGTAACTAATATATCTTAAAATAATCGAGAGATGACTTTCAATGATTAGTAATGAAATATCTGTACAATTACTATTAATAATGTCTAAAGCATAATCAACAAATTTTTTTTTTAATATATAATATATTTACACTGTCTTGAAAGATCAGTAAAAGTTATATAATTTCATTTCCGGAAGTTAATTGTCAATCGCTTCTTCTAATTTACAAATTTACAAATTTATTAACTTTTTTTTCAACTTGGCGACAATAAGGAAATACCTAACGCAAGATATATTGTTCAATGGTTTTGGTAAATATCCATGATTATATTAAATAAATACTGTATCGTGTACATATTTAGATAATTTATTAACTTTAGTGATTTATTATACTGGTGGCATTTGAAAATGATTTAAATCTATTAATTTTAACAAGTATTAACAATAATTTTTAATACATTGCATATTTTTATGAAAAAAAAAATGTTTAATTTACTTTATCTCTACGAACGAAGTGATAATTTGTAAGTAGGATGCAAAAATAAATAAACTAAATTACTTAGCATTAAAAAATATTTTGATTCAACGGATAACTCCAACCTTCTCAAATATAAGTTATAAAGGGAGCTTATTTATAAAATTAATTGAAATTATTGACAATAATATTATATAGAATATTGAGTGCTTAAAATCTATATTATACATTATTTATTTGATAATATGAGTTGTCGATATATGTTTTGAAAGAAAATGACATTATTCTATCAATGTCATAAATGTAAATATATTCTTCAATAAGATTGGATAAGATTATATTTTACATTATTTTTAAAATCAAATATGTTTCTCGTTGAGCATAACAAATTGAGAAAAACATCATATAATTATTATTCCGTCAATCTACGATTTTCAATCAATAATATATTAAAAAATTAGTAAAATTAGCAAAGTTTATATTTAAATAAAAATTATTTTATTTTTTATATCTTCGGAGACCACAAATTTTATTATCTTATTATTATTGATGATAATATGAGAAAAATAAATCAATAGACGAATAAATAATTTAGATATTTTATAAATTTATAAATTATCTTGTACCAAAATTTATTAATTAACGGCTCTTAAATAATGTACTACTGCTATAGCGGATTGATTTTATTTTCGAGTAAATTAGTAATTTTATATATATTGTTTAGTACATCGTACGAAAATTTTAACGCTTTTGATTATAATTATGTATTAGTCAGTGAAATTTATATACCGAACCTCGTATATTGTTTTGGCATTATGAAAAATGATTTTCTCCCTTACGAAGGATATTGAACATTAACGAACGAAATAATTATAAATGTAATCTATTAAATAAAGTTTTTTCTTTGTTGTTGCTTTCATCAATATTATCAAAAGAAAAGTTTTTGTATAAAATAACTATCATCTTATAAAAGTACGGAAATAAAATTATTGTATTCTATAAATTGAAGATTAATAAAAAAAAAAAAAAAAAAAAAAAAAAAAAAAAAAAAGTAAAAACCAAAAATAAAATTATCAATATAAAATTTGTCTATTATTTATAATAGATTTATAAATACAATAATGTTTATTAATATACATGTAACCAACTAAAATATTAAATTATTTTTAATTTTCAATTTTTAATATTTTACGATTAATTTATGTATTAAATATTAAATATACGTATTCTTATGTTTTAATGTACATATTTTATATATATATATATATATATATATATATAAATATATTATTTTTCACTGACAATAGTCAGCTTTCACTGAAAATGTATTAAACAAATTGTAATTTAAAGTTCATCAAAACAATGATAATATTTAAAGAGACAAATTTGCTTTATCAATGCATTCACGATCGTAGTTTGATGTCTATGATTAAAAAATATATTGATTCTCGTAGCAATGTGATATAAATATATATTTGCTTCGTACATGAATAAATTGCTCTTGTCTCTTTCAAATTCATTTTTAAACAAAAATACCCATTAGATATATATTACCATTTGTTGTATATTAGCAGCTCGAGGTTGATTATTGACTAATCCATTCGCCACTTGCTGTCGCAAATAATTATGGTGATTGACAATCTCATTTTTGATGCTGCATGATAACCCATTATTATCTGTAAAAGAACACGAAAAAATTGTATTGTTTAACAAGCACGTGAAGTTTATCGAGCAAATGAAAATATTGGTATTAAGTATAATTTCATGAGATTATTACTATTATCAATATTACAAAGGAAGTTTTGTATGTAAACAAAAAAACTAATGTGGCCAATACACATGAAGTATAATTATCGAACAGTCGAATAATATTTATTCGATATCAATTGTATATTTAATATTTAATGAACTATTGCTTCTTTTTTTTTTTTATAGTTTAAGATCGTGTCAAAATTAATATGATATATTACTTAAGTTGGACCAAGTACTATTGCATATCATAATGGGAAATGTTATGAATGATAATCTTAGATCACTGTGAAAAAAATAAATAGACGCATGTTCCGTAATGGTTGAGTAACTTTAATAATATTCGAAGTTATCGGATTGTATTTATATTTTTATATATGGTAATTTTGTATATCAAAAATGAAATTTTATTTAAAATTATTTATATCTATGTAAATTAAAAATAAATAATCTTCGCCAAATTTTTCGACGTATGAACGAACTTTATTACTATAGAGTATCACGTTATTATAATTTTATTAACATATCGTGTTAGTAAATAATACCATAATTTTTAATAATGATAAATATAATACCAATATAATACGAAAATTGAATAAATATAAACAATTTTCATTTTAAAACATTTATTAAGTTGAGAAGAGTTTGTTAAGGAATTATTTTGTTTTATTTTTAATTTTTTTATATATTCACCAAACTTATTTATTGATTATTATTTATTTATGCTAAAATTAAAAATCACATTCAGAATAAAATTAGTATACAAACATGACTGCATTATTTCTTTAAATTTGTTAATATTTCTAAAATTTTGTCATTTAATCATGTCGTTATCATTGGTTTTTTCATCAAGTTATGGAAAAATTTAATGTCGTTATCGGTCTACAACTAATTGAAAAATTTGTTTTCAGAAAGTCATTTAAAAATAGGATCTGTATAAATTTTTCAAAAGATTTTAATTAACTATAACATAGATTGAGAATGAGATTGATTTAAAATAAATTTTCAACATAAATCGAAAATACAAAATCAAAAGATTAATTACACGCACGAATTTAATAACCACTAACCGGAGATCGGAGAAATAGTAAAAGTTTTGCCATTCATTAATAATAATCACAATCTGTTTATATTTCAAAACTTCATTATTTGTAATCATGCTTAAATGATGAAGTACAATAGTAGTAGTCGTCTAAAAAAAAAAAATCTAATTAGAAAATTATGATGTAGCTGTAGAAAGTTATTAAAACTTTGTATTCATAATTGCGTTGTTGTTAAGATTCCTATAAAAACGGTGTTTAATTTAATAATTATAATGAAACGGTTTTTTTTTTTTTTTTTTTTTTTTTAAACTTTTTATTCGGATAATTACGTGAATCGCTATTATTAAAAAGTCAGATAACTTATGTAAAAAAAGTATGTTATTGTACCAATTATGTTTTTAATAAAAAATTGTCCTTATAAACTTTTATAATTTATTTGGATAAGTAGTAATAAATGTAATGCCTTAAAATTTCAAAAAATATTTTATGTGAATAAATAGAAATAAAAAATTTTTCTATATACAAAACAATTAATTTAATAAAATTACAACAATAATAGCTTAAATAATGGTCATCGCAATAATCAGTACAAGAGAAAAGGACACCTTGAATAACGTAGCAAGACCAATTTCTTTTACATCCTACGATCGATGATAAAACTCTACTTATGGTATTGATAATAATAGAGATATTTTAATAAAAGTGCTTATGTAAGTACATCGTAGCATACGAAATTTCAAATAACAGTCGAAATTACGGTTAAAAAGTGCCCTATAATTGCACATATAATTATTAATTTACTTATAGATAAATGAATAAAAATGCAAATACCGATTAACTATGCAATCGATATAAAAAAATTTGTTGGTGCGTCAAAAATTCTTTATCTATTGCACGTGTATAACAATATACGAAGCCGAATTATTGATAAAAATTAATTAAAAATTCCGCAAAGTATAACCTTTGTCGGCCTAGAATTTTATAAGCCTATCGTGATTAAAACTTTAATTGGAAATTGAATTATTTTATGATTTCGTACAAATATTAGTTAACACCAATATCACCTAATGCGTGTAGTATAAAATTTATAAAAGAAAATTGAGCTGAAAAAATTTCTGGAAGAGCTGATAATGAACAACGACGAAACACTGTTTTTTATTTATAGATTCCATTGATGAAGAAAATTAAATTTCAGTTATTCGAACAATGTTGAAAGATAATGTAACATTCGAGGATAAGTGCACATGAAAAATCTATACATTATTACAAGAGAATAAATATAGAATAGAAATATGGAAATATTTACTAACGATAGATTTATTTAAAGGTCTAAATTATCATCTAATAAGATATCAATTGTACACGACGAATTACATTTAATGCAATATTTTGTTTCTTAATAATTAAAAGAGAAATAATTATATTTACTCCAATTAGAGAGTAACTATTATAAGCTTATGAAACGAATATATTGAATCTAATGAGATTTCGAATTGTTACACAATTTTCATTATGTAATTATAAATTAATTATATTAGTGAGAAATAAGAAAAATCACTCGAGTTTACTTGTGCATTGTAGTAAAAATAGAAATTTCATTGATTAATGATCGATAGCTAAATGGTTCAACAAAATAATTTTAATTTCTTTTAAGATTTTACGATTTTACGTAAATTATAGACAAATGAACGTCGGCATTAGAGTTTTATTGAGAATACAAACTGGAAACGAATCTGTATCAATTTAATACAGAACCACTGTTAAACGTAGAACACGGCAGCCCTTTGTTACTGTCTAAACTCATCTGTAACTTGTTGATTGTATGAAAATTGAGTTTCCTATAACAGAAAAACTCATTAAACAACTTCATTTATATAGATAATAATTTAATGGGAGCTAATGTAATTAGAAAATTAACGTATACTTATAAGCTATTAATAAAATTATGAATGAAGGCCGATTTCTATGAGAAAATGTTCATCAATCAAAGAGTAGAATATAAAGTATTTTAGAGCTTCAAAAGAGTTAAGATGCTAAAATAATTAAAACTAATGTTAAAAGTTCAATGATTATTCAATTAATTGCAATACCTTAAGAGTATTGTAAAATTTACAATCCGACAAGTTTATTCGAAGTATCATAGTAAAGGATCATAGAATGATGCATTTTATTCTCAAAATGTGAAGTGACTCGGAATGAGTTTGTACTCGACGAGATCTGTGCACAGTGCATAAACTTAAATAAAGAATTAACTTCATTTAATGATATTAAATTCCATGATCATGATCAATGAAACTTCGAAATTTCTTAAAAGTTATCCGATTCTTTAATGCTTAAAAAAAAAAAAAAAAAAAAAAAAACGTATATAGAAATTATCTTTTTATAATATAATATGATAATATAACCAGACAGAAATTTATAAAGTCATCTAACATTAAAAGTGTAAGGTAATTTAAATTGCCGAAAATACTATCACAAACTATATACGAGTAATTAATAATAATTTGGTTGTTTCATCGTCAAAAAGCGGAAAATTGCGCGAATATTTTATTATAATTTGAAAGCTTTCGAAACTACAGGTAGAACAGAATACAGTATGGAAAATAAAATTGAAAATAATTAAATGTGTTAAGTACACAATTAAAAAAAAAAAACAAAAAAACATTTCGTTAAGCTTATTAAAAGAAAAATAACATAAAGTTCATTAAAATCAGAAGTTTTTAGCCTCTTAAGACAATATTCCTCATTAAGTAAATTAATAACGCGGACGGAGTAACGTATAAAGTAATACAAAAATTTATATGAAAAATTATATTCATTAACAAAATAATACGTAGAAATACATAAACGATTCACGTTTTCGAATGAATTCCTCAATTGGAACCGTAATAATTAGAAAATTATATTATTTAAGAGCTAAAAAAAAAAAGAATTTACAAAATGCGATGGTCTAAAGATATTGGTTTCCGTGTATAAAGATTTTGTTACGGTAACAGGTAATATTGAATTAGTATGAGATTTCAGTATCTGTATATATTAGTGAAATTTGTTGCAAAGCCGTATAATAATGATATTTATATGATATATTCAGATTGATTTCGATGGTACTTTATATAATGCAATATAATACAATGTAATGATCGAAGTCTGAAAATATAATGAATCAATGCATTAATAAAATAGTATATGAAACAAAAAATCATATGCGATTGTGTAAATGTAATATCGATGATTATAATACGTCCAATTAGTCTGTTGAACAAGTTTGCTTATTCGCTTCTTTTTATCACCTTCATTGTGGCAATTCCTCTTTGTAGCATCAAATAATAATAATAATAATAATAATAATAATAATAATAATAATAATAATAATAATAATCTACGTTTAAAATAAAATTGTCTTTATTCAACTAGGAACAAAATATATTTGTTACTATTTTATAATAAATTGGCACGGCAGAAGTGTCGCATCACCTACAATTAAATAAATACGTTGTATCTAAAAACAGCTGGAAAATAACCATTAGCTGTCTTTATTTTAGTTAACGCTGTTAAATAATACATTAAAAAAAAAAAAAAAAAAAAAAAAAAAAAAAAAAAAAACAAACAAACAAACAAACAAACATGAATAAAGAATAATTTTCATACAGCAGTATGTAAAATATTTGGCTATAATGGCAGTAATTTTTCAAATGCATACGCTCGCGCGACCTTAATACAATTGTACGCTGTTACATCGACTACATTTACATCGATATGTAGGACAGCACCTGCAATTATTCGCAGGCATGATGCACGATGTACAAATGCAATGTATGAATAAATGAAAATGGGTAAATTTTCTTTATCCGCAAAACCGCGACAATGGCTGATACTATACGAAC